ACATAATTGTAAATGCATTATAATATGTGAAGGTTTGTTTTTCATGTTTTAATGCATTATACTTTCTAAAGGTGTGACTGAATAACTAAGTAGTATAATGCACATTATAACTGTGTTATTCATACGATGCATTACAAGACATAATTAATGCATTAAAATATGTTTATAATGCATTATATATAAAGGCTTTAAGTAACGTTTGTTAACCTAATGTTCATGTTTTTAAATGTAAAAAATGTGTGAACGTCCCTTTGGATGGCAGCATAATGTTTCAGACTTTATGTGATGTTTAAAATGCTTTCTAAATAGAAAGCTCACTAGGTTTTGGAAGAGAGTTCATGGTTTTAAAAAATCAAGTATATCATACAGTACTTTATCTCCTTATTAGTAGCAAGTACAATGAAAGAAGACATTTTAACTTGCATTCAGTCCATTCAAACTAAGACCCAAAAGAAACGTCTCTAGGTTACGTATGTAACCATGGTTCCCCGAAGGGAACGAGACGCTGCGTCGAACGCTTTGGGAACGCCCTCGGCGAGACACCGTACTGAAGCCTGTGTGAAATCAGTCCAATAGCGAAGCGAGACGTCACGAGCGGGGTGACGTAAGCAGCCAGGAAGCATAAAGGCACATCCGGCCAGCGCGGCTGTTAGCTTCTGCGGAAGCGAGCGCCTGCAGGGATGCAGGGAGTATGGCAGGGAGACGCAGCGTCTCGTTCCCTTCGGGGAACCATGGTTACATACGTAACCTAGAGACGTTCCCCTTCAGGAACTCGAGCTGCGTCGAACGCTTTGGGAACGAGAATACCCACTGCGCCATACGAGCAAGTCGCTGTCTGGTGTGTATCTGGCGAGCACATCAAGACGCAAGGACTTGGGACCCTGGAGTAGACGCCAGGTCGAGACTGTAAAACCGAATGAATGTGTGCGGGGAAGACCAGCCTGCCGCAGCACAAACATCCTGAAGGGCCACGCCCACTGACAAGGCCTTGGAGGCCGCCATACCCCTGGTCGAGTGCGCTCTGACCCCCATGGGTGACTGGAGGCCAGAGGACTCGTAGGCCAGTGTGATGGCCTCGACCACCCACCGACTCATAGTTTGCTTGGTCGCTGGAACTCCTTTCTTAGGTGAACCAAAGCAAACAAATAACTGATCTGCTTTACGCCACTGTGCAGCTCGGTGAACGTAAGTGTCCAGTGCTCGCACTGGACACAGCAGATTGAGTCTCTCCTGGCCTGCTTCCTGGAAGGGAGGAGGACAAAAGGCCTGTAGTACAATGGGACCCGGCGACAAGGTGGGCACCTTAGGGACATACCCGGGCTTCGGGTAAAGGAACGCCCTAACCATGCCTGGGGCAAACTCCAGGCCTGACACTGCAAGAGCCTGGAGGTCCCCTATCCTCTTCAGCGAGGATATAGCGAGCAAGAAGATAGACATAAGCGTGAGGAGCTTATCTGAAATGTCTTCGATGGGTTCAAAGGGAGCTTTGCACAGAGCCTCCAGAACCACTGCCAGATCCCATGAGGGCACCTTAGTGCACTGTACTGGCCTCAGCCTCCGGGTGCCACGGAGGAAACGTGTAACTAACGGGTGTCTTCCCACTGACTGACCACCCTGAAGGGTGTGGTAAGCAGCTATGGCCGCCACATAAACCTTCAAAGTGGAGGGGGATAACCCTGCGGAGAATCGCTCCTGCAGAAACTCCAGAACTGAACCAACTGGGCAGTTGACTGGGTCTTGCAGTCGCTGTCCGCACCAAGAGGTGAAAAGTTTCCACTTCAAGGCGTACAGTTTCCTCGTGGCGGGAGCTCTGGACTGGAGTATGGTCTCAACAACCTCAGTTGAGAGACCAGATGCTATGAGCCGTGCCCCCTCAGGGGCCACGCCCACAACTTCCATAACTCCGGGCGGGGGTGAAGAATGGTGCCCCCTGCCTGAGAGAGGAGATCCCTCCTGATCGGAATCTCCCGAGGAGAGCCGTCGAGGAGGGACACCAGGTCCGAGAACCATACTCGGGCTGGCCAGAACGGGGCTACCAGCAAAAGACGGACCCCGTCCCGGCGAACTCTCTCCAGAACTCCCGGGAGCAGAGCAATCGGGGGAAATGCGTACAGACGAAGCCTCGGCCACGTCTGAACCATAGCATCCAGCCCAAGTGGAGCTGGATGTGTAAGGGAGA